ATGAGGTTAGTTGAAAAGCAGTTGAAGTTGAACCTATTATTTTGCTCTCAACTAACCTCAGTGATGTGAAATCAGATCACTCACGCATGGCGCTGCAGCAGCAGCAGCCCCAGAGAGAGGAGAGTTTTCATCCTGCTATCAGTGCAGGAGAGTCTTCTCCCTTTGCTGTGGTCCACTCTCAGCAGCAAGTCCAATATCCATTCCATAGTGGAACCGAACATGTGTCCTGTCATGAGACGTTATTGCAGAATTCCCCGACACCTTCTCAGAACCTCCTCTGTGGCGAAACACTAAAATGACTGGTGTTATCATACGGAGGCATGTGGTGCAGTGGATGGTGCGTTGGTGTTGGGATCAGGGGGGCACAGGTTCAAACCCCACTGCAGTCAGCATGTCGTTGTGTCCCTGAAGACACTTCACCCAAATTGCTCCTGTGGGGATTGTCCACAGTATTGAGTATGTAAGTCGCTTTGGATAAAAGCGTCTAACACGTGACATGTAATGTAATGAGTGTGTGGTTGGCAACATATCAGAGAAAGAGTGGAAGGAAAGCCAAGTTGAACTGCTCAGTCCGGTATTCATCATGAGCTTTATACAGTCTACTCTATGGTCATGTTCGACACCTTTAAAATGCATTTAGTTGGGTGTGAGAAATTAAAGAAACATTAACCCTCCATTGAAATAGCTTCCTCCTTTTCTCTGTTGAGCGAATTAGTGAGGGAGAAAGAGAGGGTTGGAAATGATCCAGGAACAGGATAATAACTCAGAGCATTATACGGCAGTTACTGACTCACAGGAGCAATGGGAGGTGGAAAGGGAGAAGCGGAAAGAAAGATATGAAAAGGGAAATAAAAGTGCAGCGTTTGCAGGGCAGGGCTGGAGGAATTTGGAAAGAAAAGTGTTTAAAAAAACATGCCGCACGAAACAGAGAGAGGGGGAGAAATATGGCACTTAGAGAGGGAGGGGGGGACGAACGGTTCTCTCCAAAGTTTGGCTGCATTCCAGGCTGTCTGGCTCTGATTGTGACGGCCTCCTGTTTTTTTTTTTTTTTATCTTAACTCCAGACTTAGGGGACCCCGGAGCTTCCCTCTGCCCTGCCTGATCCAAACGTCAGTCTCCATGGCACCGGCTGATGTTTGCAGCTGCATGAAAACAGGAAGAAGAGCTTTACTTTGGTGTCATTTCAACAAACTAACGTCACCACTGAGACAGAAGGCAGGCTTGTAAATTGGCAGGAATTTGGAAAGACCAACAGAAGTTGACCTCCTCCCGAATGTCACCTGCCTGAGAGCACTTTTTTTTATTCTGTGGAAATCTCTGAGTGGAAATTCAACATGTTTTTTTAGTCCCAGTGGAAGTGGGGAGAGACTGGAAGCATTCCTAGCGGGACAATGGGCTATCAGAGACCCCAAAGACCACTCCCTGTGTATTTCATAGACATGAATCAGGCAACAACAGGTTACACAACGGCTACTGCAGAGGTCTGAAAGAGGGGAGATCTGCCTGGTTTCACAACCTGAATTAAATGTAACTCTGCTGTGACTCAACCTGAAAGTCATGGCAGAGATGAGTCAGAACAGAAGTGGACACTTGATGCTCGCTCCAAAACCTCTCAAATGTTATATGCAGTCATACAGTGAGACAATGGCATTTGTTCCAATGGCCTTTCTCTTTTTACTTGTAGAAATACATAAGTAAAAATTATTTCTATTATCGGTTGATCTGTTGATTATTTTCTCTGTAATTTAATCATTTTTGGTGAAGCACATTTGAAATAAAGTGACAATCCCCCACAACTCTAGGTGACATCTTGAATTTGCTTTCTTTGGTATATTTGCTTGACTTTTTCAGACAATTCATTGATAAGTTATTAAAATAGTGTATTATTTGTCGGTTGACTTATCAATTAATGGACTTAATTTCAAAAAAGCACTGGTAAAAGTCTTGATTTTAGCCC